TTGCTTTTCCACAGGTGCCAGCACACAGGAATCACAGGCCTGTCACAGTTTATACGCTCCACAGGCGGCCACCCTAGCAACACCAGGCTTCAAAAAGTCAAAGCAAAGGGGGAAAAACCAGCCCAAGCTCCTACCAGCCCATTTCCTCCTTTCCCCTGTGAGCGGCACTTCCATTTTCTGCACACTGGGGCCCTCGGGGCGAGACGAGCCCTTACCTGCTCAGTGGGTATCTTGGTCTCGGCCGAGACGGCCTCCCGCAGCCTGTCCACGGTGCCCACGACGGGCACGGCCACGCCGATGCGCATGCAGTGCGAGCACTTGCCCTGGTAGACCACGGTGACGAAGAGCGGCCTGCGGAGAGCACAGCGAGGCGCCCGGCTCAGCCCCGCAGCGCCCAGGACCAGGCCCTGCCGATTTGGTGACCCCTCCTTAGCTATTCTGGCCAGGTTGTTAATTCACCCCAAGCTGCGGTAACTCCCACAGCAGTGAGATCCTGGCTGTATCCGCCTGCTTCATGACTAAAGGCCCTAATGAGCAATCCACATGGAATTACTTCAGCCTCAGACAACTACAACTGATTTAGAAAGATTTTCTTCCTGCACGGATTGGTGAATTGTGCCTTGTTCCTGCAGACAGCCTTCTCAAACGCTAAGATTAAAAATAAAACTCCCTTACAAGGCAATCAATTTCCCAACACGGATCTCGCAGTGCAGCTCAGGACGCTCCCAAGCGGCGCGGAGCCGCAGGCAGCCCAGGCTGCGGCTGCAAACCCAGCTCTGGCTGCAGCACCAGCTGGAAGCAGGAGCTTCCGAAGAGCCAGCCGCAGCCAGCCCAGGCTGCGGCTGCAAACCCAGCTCTGGCTGCAGCACCAGCTGGAAGCAGGAGCTTCCGAAGAGCCTAATGGGGTGGCTGGCCTCTGGGAGAGCTTTTCCCAGCACATCCCCTCAGCCCCACGTGTTGGTAGAACAGGGACTTCTGAAACTAACGTGGCATCTTCATATTCAACATTTTCTTTCACTGTTTTGTCCCATGGCTTCATGAACCCAAGTACACTTAAGAACACAAGGCCAAGCTGTAGAAATCTGCACTGCACAAACGAGTATCTCCTTACATTTGTTTTGAACTTCTTACACAGAACTTTCTAGGGTTTTTTTTTCTTTATTGCAAACAGCTACCTGTCAAAAGCCAAACGAGCTACGTACCGTGTGTGAGGCAAGGGAATCGGCAGAGAGATGCAGAGGAAAGGGTCGAAGGTGTTGCTCTGCTTCTGGCAATGAGGGCACGTCAGAGACGACCTGTTACAGGTAACAGGACAGAAGTCGCCCATCATTTTGGCTGGAATGGATAAGTGATCAAAACCCACAAAATCTCCCAACCTTTGCTTCTCTACATGAAGTAGCTCTGCAGAGGCTACGGAGATAGAAGGTACTCTACATGAAGGGCTCCTGATTTCTAGACCCCTTTCCAGGTAATCAGGGTTCATTACAGGGCATGCCGGAAAAGGCTGCACTCCAGACGCTGCATTGGCTTTCAGTAAGAATCCCTGCAAAATTAATAATTTGCCAGTCTGAGTTCCAACATGAAAGAGCTGCAGCGCTGTTCTCCCTCGCGGGGGAGGCGATGGGAAAGGCGGCCTTCCCCTCGGAGGGAAACGGAGACGCACAGAACTTGCCTCCAGGTTAGCCCTGCACTGCTCTTATACCAGGCTTAAGGTTTCTCCTTTGGCAAAGGAAACCTTGGCAGACCTTGGGGAGAATGCCTAGTAACTGAACTTCCTATAGCAGGGCAGACACAAACCATCAAGGAATACTGAAATTAGGTGTTTTTCTCCTGTTAGTTCTGAAATTAGAAAGCTCGCTTTCCCACATAGATACACTCAGAAGAACTCTCAGGAAGCAGTGAAGGATTCAACTCTGTTCTCATTGCACTGGATAACAAGAACTTGAAATTCTCAACTCCCCACAGCCATCCTGCAACACCAGCGCTGACGGAGTCCTGCCCCCGAAGAGCCCGGTGAGCACGGAGCTGTCCTCAATCTTTGTTCCATCAAACACGGATTTGCCCCAGGAGCCTTCAGGATGTGCCAGGGCAGATGAAATGGCACACGCTCTAGATTTTTCTTGAATATACCAACCTGAAATAGCAAAACTCACTCCCTTCTGGCCCAACGTTTTAGTCCAGATATCTTTCAGCAGAAATTTAGAAAGAGGTTGTAAGACAACGACACCAGCCTCAGCTGTACGGAGAACTGCTGGGCAAATAGAAGCTGCAGCCGCTGCACTAGTATCACTGAGCAGCCACTGCAGGGTAGAGCAACACGGGGCTGCCAGGACGTACCTGTACTGGGCTTGGAAGAGCTCCTGCACGAAGGTGCTACTGATAGGAAAGGCTGGTCCCTCAAGCAGCACATCATCCTCCAGCGGTGGCTAAAATAAATTAACAAAGCCCAAATATTTAGATGCACCCAAATTTGTAGATGCATCACAGCAGACTACTCTACTGCTGCCAGTCAAACTTGCATCCTCTTTGATCAAAACCACCAGAAAACGCCCAAAGACCTACAACAAGTGCCCTCTGCTCTCCTAGGTGGTTTTGTAGGGATGTGACATGGGCAGGGCAGGCCAGGAAAGCAGCTCACAGGAGGGGACACGCGGGGCAGCCCCTGCCCTGGCTCCCAGCGCTGCGGGTGACCGCGAGCGAGCGGCCGCGCCGGGAAGCGCCTGCCAGGGCCACAGAAACAACCAGTTACATTGACGGGGCTAGAAAGTGTTCCAGCCCACGGGCTGGGTCCATCCAAATTACCGCAGCTGAGAAGCCAATTAGGAGATTTAACTTGAACAATAACTGCCTGCAGAAACAGTGCTCGTGCCCTGCTGGCGCCGGGCAAAGCGCCGTACCTTCAGAGGAGGCATGCCGCTGTGTTTCACTACGTTGTTCAGATCCTCGTGAACTCTGTCCAAAAGCCAAAGCAGAAACTCCTGCGCGTCGTGCTGGGCGTTCCCCCGGTACTGCATGGCGTTCTTGGACACGATATTCTGCATGGAAACAGCAGAGAGCATCAGCAGGAGCACAGGAGCCGAGCTTGGCCCAAGCCCTTGGCCAGGCGCGCGCACCTGAAGGGCACCCAGGCCCACGAGGGCTGGGTGGGCCCCACGCTGACCCGCTGGGCACGGAGGGGCCCGAGGGCAGTAGGGCTCCCCGGAGCGGCCCCGTTTGCCAAGCTCTGCGCGAGGCGGCTGCCCCCCGGGGGGCCCGCCCCGCAGGGGCCCACCAGC